TTAATATGGTTTAATAACAGAAATCACATTGAGATCTTAAAGCCAGTCGATATACCCGCAACAATTTAGCCATAATGATATGTGCTTTTAAACTTTAGCGTTTTGTCACAGTTACGGTTAGGGGTAATAATACATCGAACAGTTTCCGACAAAGTTAATAATGCTCTTTATCTATGAGAATGGACTCAAACTGGAGCTACTGAATCGCTACCTACTATAATGTTAAATCAGGAAAATTAGTCGGGCTGCTCTGAGTCTACTTTTATAATTGCATCCTTCTTTTACTTCCCTGAGTGAGACACTGATGAACCGTAATACTTTTTAATTCTCAAGCCGATACCGATCCCTCATTCAGCCAACGCGCTCGAAAGTGCCCGTTGACTGACACTAAGTATTAAATTAAATGGATGATAACAATTTATGCTCTTTGTGAAAGAAAAATATGGAGTAAATTGCTGTTTTAGAACCATCATGCGTTTTGACTTTCGCAGATTGCCTCGTGACAGGAACATAAATGTATGGAAAGGGGATGATTAGAAAAAGAGAGGATAATAGATGAAATGAGGAAATTGAGATAGGTTATGAGCAAAGTAGTTTGATGGTGTTGACAGATAAAATTGTAGCAATATAATGATAAATAATAGTGAGCAAAGTGCAACAAAAAAGCAATGTGAATGCATATAACGTATTCAATAAAAAAAAAAAAGTCATGCAATAAATAGTGGAAATGAGCCGCAACAAAGAAAGCAGTGTGAGAAAAGTACTATTAAAGCTGTACTAACAAGCTCTAAGTTCCAAGTTTGGGACTGTGCTATGGTGTCGCGAGTTGTCATAAACTCTACTTATGTATGCTGTCTACTTTACACCCCAACAAAACGGTTGCAAGATGTTCCCTCCTCTCTCACACTAACACCCTCCTCACGAAGTCATTACACCCCCTATAAGTAAAATTTTTGATCGTGAATAAGCACCCCCAAGATTACCTAGATTAACTGCATGACGTGCCCCCAACCCACAGTTTATTACGTAAGTATACAAATCAAAATTTTTTATTTCACAATAATAGTACGCTTCCGGTTACTGCTATTACTGTTAAAAGCTGCCCCTTAACATTGTTGTGGATTATACTTTACGTAATGATTTACCAATCATTTTAATAATGCCAATAATAATAAGAGTTGACGATCCTAGCACCCCTCACTATGATGGGAGTGGGTGCTCATTCACGGTAGTATACGGTACTTGTTGGCTTTACTTCCACCACAAGACTCACAATCAAGTCCAAACTATAACTCAAACGCTTTTTCAAGCGATAAACCAAAGACGATTAAATCAAAATACCAGCTGCTCATTGAGCGAAAATATTTATCAACTTGTGGGAAAGTCTAACAAGTTACTTGATAGACTTTTTGAGCTGGACTCAGTCGTATTTAACAAAACGGTTATAAAATACCACAAAGTGCACGGAAGAAAAAGCATTATCTCTTTTATTCTAAAAGGCCTTCAACAAAAATTCTCGAGAAAAACGATCAAAGCGCTTAAAAATTGGATAGATAAAGAAAAGGAGAAGGGAAATGTAGACGTTAATAGTATTTATAATAATATACTGTACGTATGGCATAGATTTCGCTAGCGCAACCATCAATGGCTTTGGGTCCGAGTATTTCCTCCCATGCAGGAATCTTTGATATACTTTGTTTTTTAAAGAATAATAAAATCATATGACGAAACACGTGTATGAATTATTGTAAATAGCCTGAATATTCAAAAATAAAAAACAAAGTTCGCAAATTTTCCCAACTTGATGAAAAAACAAGGTCTCCATTCATATCAATGTGCCGTCATATAGACTACAAATCACAAGAATAGCGTTCGCTGATGGAGATTGTTCCGTTTAAGAAAAGAAGTTTTACTTTTTACATACAATTGTTATTACGTGGTGCGATCACTCTAAATGAGAGTCTTTGTAGTTTGTAATGCAATTTCTGCGCGTTGATTTCCATTGGTCACATTCTGCATACAGGGAACAATAGTTACGTTCCTAAAATACGTCATTGATTAAGCCACTGATTAGCAATAGTATATTAGATCGCATCGCGCAGCCTTTTAGCAGTACTACACCTTTTCGTTTAGAATTTCACTTTTTCGATCAAACCACTGTTGCTCAGTATTTGCAAACCTTTGTTGATGCTGGCAAGGCAAGCTCAGAGCAAGCAACCGCCGTTAATGACATATTACTCAGAATTGGTTGAATACACTGGGCGACGTCAAGAATTTTACTGCTACAGAGTTGGGAAATCTGAATATACCTGCAGGTCTAGTCAAAGATTTAGAGGCAAAAAATTTTCTCAAACCAGAAGCAGGTAACAACTTTGTGACTCGGGCGTTGGGGACATAGTAATAGAGTAGTGTGTAATGTAGGGTATAGTAGACATAATAATATGGTCTTGTATATCATGAAATTTATCAGGAGAATGTTGTTGCTAGAGTTAACTTTGTACTTTCTGCATTATATTATGTGTGTTCTTTTCCTTTCTAGTCTTTCTAAGTCAAGATCATATCAAGGGCAAAGAGCAAGGTAAATACCATAACTGCAGTTCACATATCATTAATCTATACTGCTTTCTCTGCAGTAATTTCATCTTAAACTATTAACTTGTGCCTTATTATTATTAGTGTTAGCATGCAGACCCAAAAAGAGGGCAGAAGTAGAATGTAAGACTATATGAAGTTGGTGTTACTATCCGAGATTAATCATCCACAAGATAATAACAACATGTGAGTTGTAAACCCTTCAATAAGTACAACTTTATCACTGAATATGAACTACATATGCATGTTAAAACTCATTTTAACTCTATCTAAAGACAGGCATGCAATAAATGAGGGAGGGTTATAAGATCCCACAACTAAGGTAGAAAAGAGGGTAGCTATAGATTTTGGAGATGTAATGGAAGAGGAGGTATAGGTATTATAGGAGTGGGAAGAGGAGGAGGAGAGAGGAGAGAAGAGATGCAAGCTATAGAAGGCCAAGGGGCCTTAGGAGAAGAGGATAGATGGAGAGATCTATAGCTAAGAACAAGATGGAGAAGAGATTTGAGTGAATCACATGAAGAGGGAACTGGGGAAGAACCAAAAGTGCATGATGTATAGTCCTTCCATATAGAGAATATAGCCACTGATTGAAGAAGTCAGCCAATTTTTTTAAAGTGAGGTTGAGAGGAGGAGATGAAATTAATGGGAGATGGATGAGAGTTGTAAACCCTTCACATCACTGTTTCTTCACTAACTTTTTGATCTTTTTCTTAGTCACTATCACAAAACCAAAGAAATGGTGAATGCTGCAATGCATCCATCTGAACGGATCTTTCATTATTTTGTGGACCCAGCAGAACAAAATGCTCCATTGATTGAGCAAATTCAGAGTGGTCACTTCATATTGTTATATGGGACAAGGGCTTCAGGAAAATCTACAAGGGTGCATAGAGTTGTTCAACAATTGAAACATGAGTTTATTGGCATCCAGTAAGGTTTTTACTTGTTTGAGCATATTAATATACAATATAAATGGTGTCTGTTACACTCTATTACTATGTTCTAATTACTGTTGTTATTTTTTCTTTCATAATAGCATATCTTTTGAGCATATGGGCAAAATGGCAGTTATTGAACAGCTTCTCTCCAAGCACTTTTGCAATCCACTCTATCATTGCTATTGGGACATTCAGTATCTGGTATATTGACTATAGTATATAGGTCACCTTTTAATATTATAAACTCATTCCAGAACCCATACCTTATTTTGAACCAAATAGTGTTATGACAAGCCAGTCTGCTGATGCAGTTGAGCATGTCAGGTGATAGTCACTCCCTATTGGTATCAAAATTGCTCACATATCCATCCACTCTGGCTTTTGTCCTCCGACCAATTGCTTATTTCAGTTACGGCCATGTTCATTTTCTTTCCCGTGTAGCCGCAGGCAATTTTTTTTTTTGCTCACAAGGGGCACGCCTACGTCGGGCCCGCTGGCGGCACGGTGAGGTATCCCTCCACTCCAAACTCTCTTTCACACATGTTTCACACCTGTCATTTTGCATCAAATCTTTGGTATTAGTATCTTTCCTCACATATCTCCCTCTTAATATCACATCTTTCCTCCCCATCTTCTATCATCCACTCACATCTCTCTTCAAATATTAAGCATATTGCTCATTTAATTCAATCAGCAGTCCTATGGACCATCTGGACCTCATACACCTCAACATCTTTTGGTTCATTTGACCCCTCCTCTATTTCAGATTCTTCCTCTCATATAAAATTATTACTCCATACTTACCTTGGCTTCTTATAATCATACATCCATCTCTGTAAACATATAAACACTTTATAACACATATATATTAATATAACAATTAATAACATTTTATCATAATTAGTAATCATATCCAAATTTTCATCCCATACTAAATAAAGACCTCGAAAACTCAGTTGCATTTGACGCGACGTGAATTGTACATGTGTAACTTGCCCAAAATAAATCCAGATGTCAGAGTTTTAGTCCGATTTTTTTGCAAACCCCTGTATAAAGACTATCCATCTCCAATCTATCGCTTCAGTCTATTAACAATAATACAATCCCCATGGATCCTAATATAAGTAACTCGATAATAGACACTCTAAACGTAGATGCTCTTGCACGAATACTGCTCGATTTTCGAGCATCAAAATATTATAACATGAGGTTGAGTGCGGAGGCGGATAGAATTTAATGAAAACAGTCGTTATGAGGTGTTATTCGAGGAGTGTATTCGCGGCTAAAAGTATGTAATAGGGAATGTCTACGTCTAGAAAGGGAGATTAGAGCTTTGAATATGCTAATCAAAGCAAAGCAATTCGCTTTGCAGAAAGCGAAAAGACAAGTTGTAACAGCAGCACCACCATCACCACCATCACCACCATCGACATATAGTGTCATCAGAAAGGCTTATCTACCAACTCGATGGAGCAGCGCCAGTTGTTAGCACTGGCAAGATTAACGAGAATTAAAACCAAATTATATACGCCACCCCCGGTCCCAAACGTTACTGTTGCGAGAACATTATTCAAACGAGCCTGCAAAGTGTTGTCGTCGGGGAAAAAAATGTCAGAAAAATATCTGGCTGCCGCTGACGCACATGCTGCCAGCAATTATGCAGAAGATGCCGACTATTCGCTGGAGCTACAACGGGAAGACTTAGCCAGTAAAACACCAATTGCCTCATATCAAGCGGTGTTTAAGCGTAAGGCGCAATTCAAAAAGGTGTCTGAAGTGCTCGAGCTTTGCGGCACAGAATTGCCCGCCTCCCTCCTCCCCGTTCGCTGCTGGTACGAACCACAGATTGCTGCGAGTGAGGCATTGACTTTTTTGAAAGATTCGTTAGAAGGAGCCGAGATAATTCGTTAGAAATCACCAACTCCCGGAATAATAACAGTCGGAAGAACCAACTTTTTTAGTTTGTGCACTTTTGTGCGCATCTATACTATGTATGTTTTTACATATACTATATGCTATATTAATATGTTAATAAAAAGCCTAGCAATGCTTCATTGTCAGCACAAAAATCAAACTCGATTTTACGTTGATGGCATTTTATGACATACATAATATTAAGTACGATTTCTTGATTTTTTGAAAACGCGAAATCAGTTTTCGTCACTAATCCAACAACCAAGAATCCAATGCTCATGAAATTCACATATTTGTTAATGAACCAAGAATCCACATATAACTTATATTTTTGTTAACCATAACGATTGTCGAGGTATATACCAAAAATTGACACAGAATATTAAGTATGATTTAAATTTCGATATACCGATTCGCTTGATTATTCGAAGACGCAAAATCGATTTTCGTCATAATCCGGAATAGCGCAACAACCAAGAATCTAATGCTCATATAACTTATATTTTGTTAACCATAACGATTGTCGAGGTATATACCAAAAATTGACATATAATATTAAGTATGATTTAAATTTCGATATACCGATTTTCGCTTGATTATTCGAAGACGCAAAATCGATTTTTGCCATAATCCGGAATAGCGTAACAACCAAGAATCCAATGCTTGTATAACTTACATGTTTGTTCATTACAGTTATCGTTGACGTGGGTATAAAATATCAATACATGATATTAAGTACGGTTATTATGTGAAATTCATCGATACAACAATACGTCACAAAGTCGCTAGAACGTGATTGAGTAATTATTATCTACACGTATACAGTACCATAGCAATGTCAGTGGAAATGCAAGTGTATTGTTGATAATCCAGTCCAGATCCTTGAAGCAAACACGAATGTTGGTGGGAATTCCATTGACGGTGTACATCGTAGACGGAGATTTTATTAATTCTTACCAACAGTAGTAGCAGAAGTGAAAATTGGGATAAGAAACACTCATTTGACTACGAAAGTTGAGTATAGCCATGGCCAGCGTCTAGTTGCAACGGAAGAAACTGTGCGCATCGTAAGAAGAAACTATAAAATATTACTATATTTGCCGGGTGAAACTTTGTCAACAGATTCTTTGAAAACGAACGCCTATTTTTACATAACGACAAAAAAGAATTTTGTGAAATGTTCGGTGACTAAAATATACGGTAGTTTTTTAATGGCTATAGCTGTGGCTTATGCACAACTTATGGACTAAAGTTATTATGTATATATAACATTAAAATAATATAAAATTAATTATGCACCATATTTATTAACAGTTGAAATGAATTTAATTTAAATTAGAAAATAACCAAATTACTTTCTTGCTATTTATTACTTTCAATCAAGGCCATTTTTAGTCTCTTTAACTTCAATTGAGCAATTTGCTGCTGAGAAGTTAGTCAAGATAATTGCTTTTTTTAATTTTCTATTGTTTTTTTTTTAAATTGTTTATTGTGACGGATGATGCTGTAAAGTTTTAACTTGTCTTACCAACCTCATCAAAAGGCTTATAAATTTTCCAGGTTTTTGCGGTTCTTTTACGAAGAGTCGACCTGATACCAACGTCTGGTTTTCAGAATGGAATTATTGTAAACATACAGTGTATTCTAATAGTTCACGAAAAGATAGTGAGAGAAGCCCTTCTTCACATAAAGGTGAAGGCAAATTTCTAGAAGCACGGTATTTTAATCTTATCAATAAAGTGATATACAGTACAAACACTTTATGCTACACGCTTACTTCGTATTCATAGCATATCTTATTGTCTATTATGACCTCGTATAACGTAGAATGTCTCACGGCACTATATGCTGGCTCATGCCGAAGTGAAGATGCTTCATATCTAATTAATATCGTCTCTGGACTTGCAATTCTATTGGATGATGATACAACACGTGTTCATAAATATAAATAGGTCATGTTCGCGCAACACATCCCGCGTTAGATTCATAGATAACAAACAAACCCTTCATATTACTTACCATACTACTATTAAAGAACATACCATCTTTTACACAGCTTGCTTATTTAACAAACGTATGGAGTACATCACAGGTCCCTTTAAAATAGAATTTGATCGCGCAGTAGAACTCAAATTAAAATCTGCAAAAACAGACTATTTCCATGTGAAACGAAGGAAACCTACAGATGCAGAGCTCGCTACACTGACCGCTGAATTCAAGGAAGAGACTGCTGATAAATTTGAAAAACTTGCTTGGAAAGCGGAAAAAGCAACAGAACAATTTGAAGAAGAACACTTCAAGGTAGGTGATATGAACTTGCAGTTAATTGTAAGCGTTTCTGGCATGTTTACGGTAGTACATAAATCTCTTTAGAAATGCAATCGGAGAGCCTCGTATGGAGCAACTCGACAGCATCAGGAGAAATGGTGTGGGGATTTCAGGAAAGAGTACATAAATCGATGGTTAGCTGACTTCGAATGTAATTTTAAGCGTAACCATAAACGTAAAATTCGATCTCAAGAGCTAATCTTTTATCCCGGTTATTGTGAGTGAGAATACAAAAAAAACCTTTACTTCAACAAACGCTCTTGTATGATATCCGATGCTTATCTTACTTGCTCCATAGTCACAGTACATTGGTTCTCTAATAAATGGAGACCTTTAGCAAGCTATTTCAAAGATCTCGGAATCTCGCAACCGATGAAAGTCATAATACGACGGTAAGCAAGCTTTTTTCTCTTATTCCTATCTTTCTTCGTATGATATCTCAAACATGTCCTCAACCCTTTCTCACCAGTCGACATCCGGCACATTATTGCTTTGGCAAACTTCGTCATCCAATCTGGAGAGATGAAACCAATCTTAGTGATGTTGAATATGCTAAGCAAGAAGCATTACGTCTACGTCTAAGATATCAAATGATCCCCGCGGGCATTCCCAATGATCCGTTTAAATCAAGTTATGTTAGTGTCAAATACGATGCTTCAACCGATCCTGACATAGCTGAATATTTAAGGGTGAGAACATCAGAGACTCAAATAACAAATAGAGAGTGTTTGTGTAATTAGAAAAAAATGTCTCGATCGATTACTTCGTTTATTAAAGAAATCTATTACCAAATTTTTCGTTGAAATAAACATGAGAACAAATACATCTAGTCAAGCTCTTGTTGTACAAATGTTGGGTACTTTTCCATTACACTCTCCCAGGTGGTGTTCGCTTCCACAAGTTCCTTGAGAACGTCTAAGATTACATCCACCTATATATACGTGAAAGCAGTGAGTGGACGGTGAAAATAAACGCATTTTATGTTTACAAAATTATAGTTTACTATATCAAACACTTACATCCTCTCTGATCTGCTGAGTTGAATCTCGTTCGCGTAGTGTCACGGTCCCATCATTCGTTGATTGAAAATCGATCGTGATGGCAAATGGCGTACCGAGTTCATCGTTACGCGAATACCGACGACCGATGGAGTTTGAAGAGTCGTCTACCTTTATTGGAATGCTCAACTTTCGCAAACGGGAAGCTATACGGACAAGAGTCATCATATCAATGAGTGGTGCTGCAATTAACAGCACGAGTGCAGTTACACAAATGACTTACAGATGTCACGAACCAATGGGGCGAATGACGCGTTATTACTAAGTGGAACTAGTAAGCATTTGAAAGGTGCTACGCGTGGTGGGAAAGATAAAACCTGAAGTGAACGTAGAGCTAAAATTAATTCATGTTATAAAAAGTTTTGCAAACAACAAGTATTATGGTTACCGCTCTCTGTTCGTCTCCCTCACGCGTCCAGTGAACATGTTCAATTAGAGAATAAAGAATACGGCCGATACCAAATGACGGTTCTATTACATTAGGAGTATATTCTCGAACTAGAATATAAAACCGTTAGTCAATTCAGCATATACCACAAGTGCGTAAAATTTGTCAAGCACATCTATAAGGCTTATGTTATTTACCATGTTCTGTAAACGTCTGGCGCTCAATAGTCAAGAAATCTGAACCGACTTCATATGAATCCCCATTGGGAAGGTTGACAGTAGTTTTACTGCATACGGATTAGAAATTATCGACACATATTTCTTACATTACACGCAAACAGAGTCATGTTGTCAATTTGAAAATACATACCCTCCGTTACTTTTGATATCGCCCTTCAGCTTGTCCAGTTCTGCCTCACTCAGTCCTAACAAGTACGTCTCTAATGTCTTGGCATTCTGTCTAAACCTCGGTCCGAATATCTTCTTGTTAATATCCAATACCGTCTTTTCATAAATTATGGGTTCAGATAAACTTTCCCTTACAACGAGCTTTTCACCTGTTCGGTTAGAATGCACTGTCAGATCATATGCAGATCTATCGGCACATCCAACACATTCGATCCAACCCTGCATGAGTTAGGCTAATATGAGATTAAGTACTAACAATCGAAACACGATAGCAACAAATATAAAGGATTGATAACAAACATAGCTACTTTGGATCTCAGCATCCCAACAATCGCATGCATAATGGGCCATTTCATTTGACATATGTTGACGGAATCGAAGTCTTTGGGGATTTATTCCAAGCTTGGTAAGGAAAAGCTGGATTCGAGCTAGAAAATAAGCAAGAGTTTGATTGTCAACTATTTTCTAGAATATAAAATTATAACGTCAGTTTCAAATATTCAACAGAATAAAAAATTCGCATATAAAAATTTGTGTAAGCTTCACCTCCTCGACAGCCTTGCCAATGGTTAACTCTTTTGGTTCAGTCTTCCCCTCCGATTGAATCGAACGGTCTAAAAGTCTCAGCTTGATATCTTTTACTTCATCAAATCGAGGATGATCCTTATTCAACGGGTCGACAAAGTGTTCAATCTCGGCCATGACAAATTCTCTAGCATTGTAATTGCACGGATTACACCACGTCATGTGGAAACATCAACAAAAGTGTTTGGGGTACGTACCTGACACGAAGTAATCCCGACCGTGGGCTTATTT